CTGGACTTTCTTTTCGGGCAATTGCAGTTAGAGTGCAAAGAAGTGTAGACACTGTGGTTAGGAGTTGTCAGGCATGGCTTCGAGAAGGCCGTACGCAAAGAGCAAGGGGCACTGGACGCCGCCGTAGAACAACAGACCGTGAAGATCGCCGCCTAAGATTATTGGCCTTAAGGGACCGTTTCTCCACTACCAGGTCCATTGCAAATGAATGGTTTGCAGAACACGGAAGACCTATTGGCATGCGAAGTGTTTACCGACGAATGAGAAGTCTTCGCTTGTTTTCATACCGACCACACTGGGTCCTCCCTTTAACTCGAGAACACCGACGTAATCGCCTTGAGTGGTGCAGACAACGGTCACTCTGGGATCAGGAATGGAACAGTATTGTCTTTAGTGACGAGTCTCGATTTTGTTTAGGCATGCACGATGGTCGTGCCAGGGTTAGAAGGCGACGTGGTGAAAGGAGGAATCCACAGTTTTTTGTTGAAAGACATGTTCATCACACTGTTGGAGTTATGGTTTGGGGTGCTATAGCTTATGGTTCCAGGTCACCTTTAATCTTCATCAGAGGTAACATGAACGCGCAGCGTTATATCCACGAAGTTCTAGAACCCCATCTTTTACCGTATCTTGACACCCTGGCAGATCCAACTTTCCAACAAGATAATGCCCGACCACATGTTGCAAGAGTCACAATAAACTTCTTTCAACATAATGATGTCACATTGTTACCATGGCCACCAAGATCTCCCGACTTATCCCCAATTGAGCACGTGTGGGATATGATGGGTAGGAGATTGCTCAATTTGCAACATCCTCCTCAGACTCTAGAAGCACTTCGAGAGGAGTTGGTGGTTGCCTGGAATGAGATACCACAGGAGGACATTGACCACCTGATCAGAAGCATGCCTAGGCGCGTTGGAGGATGCGTAGCACATCAAGGTGCATCCACACATTATTAAAGGTCAAAGGGCTTTAAAGAAGTGCAATCATTTTGAAATATTTATCATTTACTTATTATGCTTCATTAAGTACTTATACAAAATTTTATTAAAATAAAACCATATAAACTGGGTGTTCGGATTTATATGTCACTTAGTATATAAATTATAAAAAAGCGCGGAAGTAATCATAGATTATTATCGGATAATAGATAACGAAATGACCAATACCAAAACAAGAACAAGGAGAAATACCGGAAAGATATCGCAGACCGTAGTGTACCGGTTCGGAAGTTTAGTAATTGTTGGAGATTTTGGTGGCTGAAACATTGTTGAAGACATTCAAAATCGATGAAATTTAAAAAATCAACGGAAACGGCTTTTTTTTCTAAAAGTCTTTCACCAATCACCAGATTATTCATAAAATCACCAGATATGCTGAAATTTCACCAGACCTGGCGACACTACGTCTGACCGGTCGCAGCTCACCGCCTTCCCATGGCTGACTGGCGTGGTTCAGCAGTGTTGTCAGATGATCGGTACTGACGGTATCTAACTTGTGTCGAACATTAAAAATTATGAACTAATGACAGCGTTGCGTAGGAAGTATAGAGTATATGCATCGTTGAATTGCAGACAGTTAGTAAAACGGAAGTCCTGCTTGAGACTCAGAACGGTATCTATTAAGGAAATGCCGATCATTCAATATCTCGCTTGTTATTAATATTTCCTTAGCAGTACGTTACATTACACAGGGTGACTTTGAAGTTGAGTCATTAATTTTCAGATAATGATTGTAGAAGGAAGATAAACCAAAATATGTGTGTAAAAATAAAAAAAAAATGTTACCTTGTTTTATAAAGTATCCTCCCGACCAGTATTTCAGTGCGGACCTGTATTTGATCGTGCGGTCTTGGAGCACCGGCATGCCCTCCCCTGTGAGGTCTTAAGTCACCTGATTCACGAGCCCTTTGTACTACATTCAGCATTTTCGTAAACATGTGCCATTTTTTATTTCGTTTGAGCCACGCAACAAACACCACTATTCACTCACGCGTTACCGACTGACACATCGACTGAATAGAACTGAATAAAATTGTACATTGTAGTAAAAACATCGTTTCAAATTCTTTCGCTTTTTTGTTTTCGATGCGATGAACGGATAAGGCGGATTATATCCGTTGTTGCCAAACACGAGCACATAATATTATTATTGAGACAGGGCGGTACTCAAACTTCTAAAGGGCTATAACTTTGTTACTTTAATTTTACCAGAAACATGTTAAAGGAAAAAAACATTTCTTTTGATCAGATCTACTCACTGTTAAAATAAATGACTCAACTTCGAAGTCACCCTCGATATAACTCGATATAGTTGTTTATGCTAGAACATATCGGCGAGACCTCGTAACCGTAACCTGTGTTTTTATGTGGAATGTTGAATGTCAATACTATGGAGCGAGGGATATTTTTTGAGTTAGTTAAGAATTAGACGTGGTATTGAGCGAATGTGATTTCGGAATATATTGGAATAATTCGGAATAGCCGTGTTTTCTTACACGCTACATACAGAATTTTAAATATGAAGTAACTAAAAACTTATGATCGACTAATCCTATAAATTCACCGTATCTTATTTACCTTATCTCGTACGTTATTCTACAACCATGCAAACTTTTTTCTTACTTAGTTTCGTAACCAGCGCACACAAAGTAATCAGCACGCAACATAGTTTACGTCGCTTGCGATTTGACAAATCCTATAATTTCCTGTTTCCTCGTCTAGGCATGCATGGCTTCACTTGATGCCAATCACTGTAAAAAGTCTCTCTAGAACGAAACCAACGTATACCTACCGTGAATAGTAGGGTTACACTGCTTTTCGCAGAAAAAATCGTCAAGTAGGTTAACAATGCACTTGCACTTGGTATCATGTCCGATTACTGCCACCTTAGGCAGTTCAAAAATCGTATTAACAAAATCTCTTTGGGATCATCATGGCAGTAGCGGTGTCCCGGCATTTAGGCTTCTGCCTGCGCGGCTGCTTCGGTACATAAAAAAAAAACGGATTTACTCAATTCATATCCCTCCAAGATTCAAGTTAGTGCCTTCCAGCTTAATACCCGTTAGGCAAATGGGATGTATTGTGCGGTTAAATACAGGGTGGCGCAAACGAAAACGAAACTTAATAAGTAAATGTTTTTCTTCACTACGCCCATGGTTTGTTTATCATTTTGTTGTTGAAAATAGGTAGTGGAGCGTTTTTTTTTTGTATCAAAAAAGTTATTTCTTTGCGATTGATTTCACCAAACTTTGTTGCTAAAATAACCTGTAACGCTTTATTACATAAATTAACCATGGTATATTCCACAGCAGAAAGAGTTGAAATTATCGAAATATTTTTTGAAAATAATCAGTGCGCTAATAGAACAGCATAAATATTTAATGAGCGACATCAGAACAGTAACGCGCATCGAAAATGTGTTCTAGAACTCGTACCTAAATTTCGAGAAACTGGGTCAGTCGCCAATAAAAAACGCATCATTGAAAATCCCATACGGAACGAAGCAACGGAAGTGGGGGTTTTAGGGCAAGTTTATGTAGATCCTACGTTAAGTACCCGCAATTTGGAGACTGTGTGTGGTGTTGGTCAACGTACTGTCCGTATAAAATTCACCTGATACAAGAACCTAATGAAGACGATTTTGATCGGCGATTGCAATTTTGTATCACTCGACCCCCCTTTCCATTTAAGATTTTAGGGTGGTGTCACCCCGCCCACGGGGCTGCACGTATTAACGTAATTTCTTGCCAAGCTTGTGTCCTCATCGAAAACAAAATCGACGGGTCTGAGCGTTTTTAAAAAAAAACTAAGCTGTCAGTAAATGCGTCTGTTTCGTTTTCGATGCGCCACCCTGTATAAAAAGACGTCCGCCTAGGAATCAAATTTGACGTGTCCGATCGTTTTTCCCAAAATATACCAGGAGGGTTACAAATGGGCCACCCTATATGATGATAATTGAAAGCCCTATGAAGGACGGAAATCAAAGGTTCCTCGCGTGTGATTTTACCTTTTGAATTCTATATACTCTGACGAAACCTATGACACCTCAACTGTCGGGTGGCGGCAACTGCAAAATTATTTTCAAATCGTATCAGCCAAGGCCAGTTTCTGATGCCATGGAATTTGAACTATGGTCACTTGATCAGAGAGATATTAAAACAAAGCCCGGGTATTATTAGATCTTATATGATAATTAGAGTGCGAGGCGAGATACATGACAGTGCCAAAAATGAAATCGAAAAGAAAATAGGCTACTTTGCACTCTCAACTATTTGTCATCGCATTTGCGAATATTTACCTTTGTAACGTTACCTCTCACTGTTTTTACTATTATTTCGAAAATGAGATATGTTTTTGGATGTTGCATGACACGAAGGTATATCACAAAAAACATATCTATCGGTCTACCTGTATCTCTGTCGGTTCCGTAATCCTTAACCCTTCTATAACTTAGAAAGTACCGCTCTGATTTTGAAATGGATTCAATGGTGGCAGAGCTAAGGGCAAAAAGAACATTTCCACAATTTTTTTGCAGGTTTCATTTTTAGTATCAGTAAAATACGTCCTATTATAAAAAGCTCCTAATCCCAGATGTAATAGTCATACATGTTATAATGAACCACTACCCGTCTCGAGTTGTGATTCCCATGCGATCCACAAAATAGCTAAAATCCTCAGCTGAAGCCGGCGTGCGCCCCAGAGTTGACGGAAATCTCTCCTGCGATGCTAGGAATTAAATTAATATAAGCTTTAAAGAGGTTAAAAGGACATTGAAGGTCCTAGCGCTATCCATGACACAATAGCAGAAAAACTATCATCTCATGTCTCAACGATCGCTCATGCTAAGAACTGACTTAATAGGATCTGTTTGATTTTCTCCTCTGCGACCAGTGTTATGATAGGTATACGTCTAATCATTTGAAGACAGATGACGAAAATAGGTCTATTGACCATCCGTATACAACGTCGTTTCATTTAATGTTTTCTTTTCAGAAAATGGAACCGACGACCATCATACAGACCACAGACGCGCCTTTAGCCGCCACGATCACAGGAACCATAGGGACCACAACTTTGAACCACAGGATCAAAGCGACGAGCTGTGACAACGACATTCTTGACAAAACTGCCATTACAAATCAAAAACGAACCGACACAGACGAATTTGTACCTCAGATCCGATGGCCCGACACTATCGTACAACTATTTTTACACTTAGGGTTAGTCTACGGGCTGTTTCTCTGTTTAGTCTCAGCGAAGTTTTATACCACTCTATTTGGTAAGTAAGCTCTTTAATGACGATAATAATAATAAAACAATATCTAATCATATTAATATTATTTTAATTGTTCATATTCATATTATTTACTACTACTAATAATAAAGGGCCTCTAGAACACGCAAAATGAAGTCAGTCCGGGAAAAACGTGAATCATGTGTTTATTTTCGTCTTCAGAACATACGACAAAGAATATTGGATGTTAATTAAAAGCATTAAAATATACTAAGTGACACCCAGTTGAAATGGTTTTATTTTAATAAAATTTTGTATAAGTACCTAATGAAGCATAATAAGTAAATGATAAAAATTTCAAAATGATTGCACTGCTTTAAAGCCTGTTGACCTTTAATAATGTGGGACTTCGGGAAGCTGGACTTTCTTTTCGGGCAATTGCAGTTAGAGTGCAAAGAAGTGTAGACACTGTGGTTAGGTGTTGTCAGGCATGGCTTCGAGAAGGCCGTACGCAAAGAGCAAGGGGCACTGGACGCCGCCATAGAAGAACAGACCGTGAAGATCGCCGCCTAAGATTATTGGCCTTAAGGGACCGTTTCTCCACTACCAGGTCCATTTCAAATGAATGGTTTGCAGAAGACGGAAGACCTATTGGCATGCGAAGTGTTTACCGACGAATGAGAAGTTTTGGCTTGTTTTCATACCGGCCACACTGGGTCCTCCCTTTAACTCGAGAACACCGACGTAATCGCCTTGAGTGGTGCAGACAACGGTCACTCTGGGATCAGGAATGGAACAGTATTGTCTTTAGTGACGAGTCTCGATTTTGTTTAGGCATGCACGATGGTCGTGCCAGGGTTAGAAGGCGACGTGGTGAAAGGAGGAATCCACAGTTTTTTGTTGAACGACATGTTCATCACACTGTTGGAGTTATGGTTTGGGGTGCTATAGCTTATGGTTCCAGGTCACATTTAATCTTCATCAGAGGTAACATGAACGCGCAGCGTTATATCCACGAAGTTCTAGAACCCCATCTTTTACCCTATCTTGACACCCTGGCAGATCCAACTTTCCAACAAGATAATGCCCGACCACATGTTGCAAGAGTCACAATAGACTTCTTTCAACATAATGATGTCACATTGTTACCATGGCCACCAAGATCTCCCGACTTATCCCCAATTGAGCACGTGTAGGATATGATGGGTAGGAGATTGCTCAATTTGCAACGTCCTCCTCAGACTCTAGAAGCACTTCGAGAGGAGTTGGTGGTTGCCTGGAATGAGATACCACAGGAGGACATTGACCACCTGATCAGAAGCATGCCTAGGCGCGTTGGAGAATGCGTAGCACATCAGGGTGCATCCACACATTATTAAAGGTCAAAGGGCTTTGAAGCAGTGCAATCATTTTGAAATTTTTATCATTTACTTATTATGCTTCATTAAGTACTTATAGAAAATTTTATTAAAATAAAACCATTTAAGCTGGGTGTTCGGATTTATATGTCACTTAGTATATTTTAGGCCTGAAACGGACGTCTTTGAGACGTCATGTGCTCTCTGGGAGAATTATGGTAGGTGAACGTGGGGGCGAGCACCATAATGTAAGCAAATTTGCCTGAATGGGGTTTAATTTGTAGATTACCAGAGTTTCTGAATGCGCCCATTCCGAAGTTCTGAGGCGGATTGCTAGTAGTTAATTGAACTCCTGTGGTGTAGACTATATAGGAATGCAACTACTGATGGACGGCGTCCCACAGTGAACCTTATGCCCTATAATGGACGCTTGTCGTCACGACGGCTATCGCATCTAGGACGACGCCCTCGTCTTTGCGTTCACTATGACGCGACGGTGGACAGCCCAACGTTATAGCACGGCATTCCGTGAATTATTATGAAATGCAACTGACCACTGATGATTAAGTATCCTTCAAAAAGATGCCCAACCATACTCTGTATTTGGACGTTCACTTACATATTTTATCGTCATAGCTATGTTGCCAAATAGGATCACAGTTATTCCCTTAGAACTAGTAAAACAGGAAGCGTTCTGGCCCGCATCCGGTTTAGATGGATGTCAGACAGCCGTTAATTTCGGCTGGTCAGAGTTGAGATCAGATTGGGATTTGATCTGACCCGAACAGATCTCGTCAATTGCGGCAGCAGCAAGGAAAAATCTAGGCTATTTAGTTCTATTAACCTTAGGCAGTTCAAAAATTTTTAAATCCTCCAAGAAAATGTCGCATCGTGACCTTCTCGTACTTGTTTCTACGACTGCATATTCTCAAAATTTCTCAAAAACGTCCAATTCCCTGCGGCAGTGTTCGAGAAGTGGCAACGCTGACACCTAAAGACGGTGATCGATATGTTTACAGGGTCTCAGAACAGAGAAGTGTCGTAAATATTCAACGGTATGGTAAATATGAAATAGTGGATGCCCACGATGTTTCCCTCACTATTCAGTGATGAATTTAACATTGAACATGACTTTGAATCATGAACTACAAATTTGTATTATGTTCAGGACCGAAGATTCGCAACGTTTGCTTTGAAAACCCAGATGCTCCCAGTGAACGAGGTCCCTTGAGGATCGACACCACTCTAGTTCACTTCCTGTTATATACTCAGTGACATTAGAAGTGTTACACTCAGGAAAAATAATTGCTCCAACTTGTTTTCTTTGGGCAACATAATGACTATGTATAAAGCATGTTGTGGCAACAATGTCAACATTTTATCTTTGTTTTTGTTTGTCTTTGTTAAAGTATGTCTTTGTCTTAGTGTTTATGAAGAAAGCAGTTTCTGACGGTAATGCGTGTGTGTCGTGTGTGGATAGAAGAAGGTAGAGGAACACGAAGAAGGCCAAATGGTCAAGGTCAAGGTATGCGCTTCAGACCGAGACATAATCTACCGCCGCATTCGAGCCTTTGGAATTTTTTCATACCGTCCACGGTTAATGATTCCTCTGACTGCGGACCACTGTCGACAACGTTTGAACTGGAGCACTTGTACACCCACAGCTGGCTGGTACGATCGCTCCTTTGTCGCTAGGGTGTCGGGATTGCGAAACAGTTCTATTAACCTTGGGCAGTTCAAAAATCCGATCAACAAAGTGTCTTTGAGCTTCTTATAGCAGCCGCGGGAAGCTTGGGAATTGGCAAATCACGTTTATTGTCTTTTACGAATCTTGCACATTTAGCCTATAACCATAGATGCTGCATACCCGAAAAAGCTGGCCGTCGATCTATGTGTATGACAATTCTTATTTATAGTTCAATGAGCAAATTTCTCTGGAACCGTACTGGATTCCCGGACTATGAGTCGAATTGATTAATGGTAAGCACGGGAGGGTAATTTGGTATGTGAGTGTGTTATGTAAACGCAATGGCAGAAGATCGACAACCGGGTCACGGTCTATTTTTACTTTTTACGCAAGGAGACCTTACTTTACTACATTTCACTACATTTTCCTACTACTTGATTTGATCAGTGGCCTGGAAGCAATATGATTCGGTAACAACGTGTATTCTGATCGGTATGATGCTATACTTTGTACAAAAAATTGCATTTTGATAGGCAGTTTTCCTTTCTACATTGATTAACGTATTCTTCATTCGCCCAAAGAGAGATCTAAATAATACTAGCACCATCTCTGAGACAAAAGTAGAAACAAAAATTCATTTATAAAACTACTTTGAATCTGCCCTTCCTTTTTGACCACTACGATGCCTATTACAATTGAATATCTTGAAGTGGAATATGTTAATCAATGCTTGATATTACGTATTTTGAAAAGTGACGTTATGTTGATTTTCTTGACATTATATTGGTTTTTTGTGACATTATGTATTTCTACAAGATGTTAACTTTGCAGTAGTTGATGGACCCGCTCTGAACTCGTTTTGTAGTGGTACGTTTTGCCTAAATGTCATGAGGCTTCAGTTATCAATTGGGCTCTGATGTAATCTAAAATCTGCTTCAGAGATGGTATTACTGGAGGTAATGCATAGGTGCCTAGTGAGGATTTGTGTGCTAATAATTTGTCTTGATAATCCATTCTGGAAATTACATATGCAAATTTTCAAAAATGAGACAGATAAGAAATAATTATATTCACTGTACACTGACGAATTACAAGTAGATATGGGGTTGTCCAAAACGGACGCAGGAAAGTAAACGCATATTAAAACAAGAAAGATTGATATTCAAATCATGTTGGGTACTTTATTTTGAGGGTTCATTTATACCATTTATGTATGAAAAATAATATCGCTCAAATGTTCACCATGACTGGACTTACAGACGTCCACGCGATGGTCGAAATTTTCAATGACATTTTGCAACATGGTCGGTTCTATGGCATTTATCTCAGCAATGATGTTGTTTTTGAGTTCTTGGAGGGTGGCTGGTTTGTTGACGTAGACTTTGCTTTTCAAATATCCCCATAAAAAGAAGTCCAAGGGAGTCAAATCGCACGATCTTGGTGGCCATGACACATTTCCTCTGCGCGAAATCACGCGATCACCGAAGAAGGACTGCAATCGATGGATATTGACGTTGGTTGTGTGGCATGTTGCACCGTCTTGTTGGAAATAAACATCGTCCATATCCATTCCTTCAAGTTGCGGCAAAAAATAGTCCTCTATCATCACGTGATATCGCTCAGAATTGACGGTAACGGCGTCCCCGGCCGCATTTTCGAAAAAGTAAGGTCCGATGATGCCTTTTGACCACAATGCACACCACACAGTCACTTTTTGAGGATACTAACGGGGATTTTCGTTCGCCCAGATGCGGCAGTTTTGCTTGTTTACCGTCCTATTCGAAAGTGAAATGCGCTTCGTCGCTGAACATGATTTTTGATGAAAAATTGGCATCAATTTGGCGGTGTTCAACGAGCCAATCTGAGAACGTTCGGCGCGAAAAATGGTCGGCCCGACGCAGCTCTTGCGTCAATTGGATCTTGTAGGCGTGTACATTAAAATCCTTGTGGAGAATGCGGAGCAAACTGGTTCTCGAAATGCCCAATTCTTGGGATCGACGCGTTGTTGATTGTTTCGGATCGTCTCTCACACTCTCCTTCACAACAGCAATATTTTCCGGTGTGCGAACGCTCCTTGGCCGGCCAGAACCTGTTGCCTCGAATTTACGCACCAGACGACCGATGGTTGTTTCGTTTGGGCGGTTGTTGCGACCGAAATGTTCACGAAGCGCGCGAAACGTGTTTTTTATTTTTGCACCATTTTTCTAGTGCTCTTGAATAACGTTAATGCGGTCTTCAATCGAATACGACTTCATGGCGATCAATGGTAAACATTCAACTAACAAAATGACATGTCGGTGACAGAAAACAAAGATGGCGTCTATTTCAAATTGACGTTTACTTTACTGCGTCCCTATTGGACAACCCTTAGATTGGAACTGTTTGTTAGGAAAAGCCTATGGTTGACTAACTAATAAAATAAAAAAGTTCATCCCTCCACGCCAGTTCTTATCACCGCGGGTATTTTTATGTGTCACGCTTACAAAAATGCTTAGCCTTTTTACGATAGTTTTTAGAATCACTCCTGTATTACATACCGAGACGAAACAACTATAACGATTTTTTTTGTCTGTACAAGTGCTATTTTGTTTGTTTCAGCATTCCTGACGATATACATAACGGGTTTTGGCATAACAGCGGGAGCTCACAGGCTGTGGTCACATCGAGCTTATAAGGCAAAATGGCCGCTTAGGTTACTTCTAGTCATTTTATTTACTGTCACAGGTCAGGTAAGCATCAAACACTGGATATTTTAACTTACACGTAGCTTAGACGTTATTTTAACGTTACCACAATAATTAGTAGTTGCCTATGATTCAGGATTTTTATCAAGAATGAACTGATTGCCCACAAATTGCTCAGATGCCACTGGTCAGTTGATGGTGGTAGGGGGTAGGGGGCTATAAATGTTGCATCTTTGCTATCAGTGAAAAACATTTCATCATTTAGCAACTTGTGGCTTCGGCAGTAATATTCACCTGTTAGATAAAGTATCGCACATATTTTGCATAATACCTATGAGGTTGGATCGAATATAAACCGGAATTCTTTTTTAATACCTATTTATTCATAAAACAATACAAAAATGCTGTTGATTATTTCAAAGCTAATGCCCGCTTGTTAGGTGACTTCATGAATACTAAGCCACCTGTCACTTTCAATAAGGTTACGAACAGCATCAGAGACACTTGATCTTGTACATCGATTATGACTGACATTTTCGACACGTTCTCGTCCACTTTTTGGCCCAATCGAATATCTGAGTTTTAGACATGGTATCATCGCCATACTGAGCCTTCAATCGAGACGAAATCTCGCACGGCTTAACGCCTTCATTTGTCAAAAACTTTAGTTTAACTCTTCGCGCAACGGACCCTAGAACCGGTTGCTCACTCACGGCCGTACTGACGCATTGACTGAGCGGAACAGCTCACCACGCGTTATCCCCACTCCTAATGCACTACACTGCGAGGGCCGACACTACAAGCTTAGTAATTGGGATTTTAACCCCCCTCACGGGAATTTAAGATTCTTGATGTTTGAAGATGCGTAGCCATAGACCCATTCCGAACCCCGACCGGCCGCCCCTAAAGGATCTTTTTGACTAGTTAAATGCAAGCAAGAAGGAGGACGCTTTGTTTTACAACAAAGCCAAATCTAATACGTAATATTAGAATATAATAAACAAATCTTAAACATAATCGTTTCATCAAAAAATGGGGGGATTTTAACCCCCCTCACGGAAATTTAAGATTCTTGATCATTGAGGATGTGTTGCCATAGAAATCCGCCCAAACCCCGACCAACCACCCCTAAAGGATCTTTTGGACTAGTTAAATTTTGTGAGGTCTGTGATAGCACTTTACAAAGAAGCGCCATCTATGGGATGGTAGCGGTGGTAGATGGGAAGTTCGAGTTGCTTGGAATGAGGTGCCACAACCAGACATCGATCATCTCATTTTGTCGATGCCTAGACAGGAGTATATGTAGCTGCGGGGTCGCCAACACATTATTAATTTTCTCTTATAACTTGTCAATAAAATTTCCTGAGAATGTTACCGTTTCATTCTTGATCAAGTCATCGTTGGTTGTCAGAGCGGTCCGTGGGACCTTAGCTCTTGAGTCACAATGTCAGTTTGTAAGTCTGTCAGGTCTGGTAACCCAGAAACCAGACAATTATAAGTTCATTCTTGATGTAAGACTGCGGCAATGCCTAAAAATCCAGTTGAAGCAATTATTTTGTCTGGGCGTAACACTTCTGATGTCACTGACTATATAACACGCGTTTAACTGTGTCTGTTATACCTCGCTTTTTATATTCATTTAACGACATGGTAAACATTATGACAAAACAAAGCTGCCATCAATCATACGGACAGTAACAAGAACGCTATATAGTTTTAGGGTAAATTGCTATACAGTTGTGGGCTTGTGGTTTTTCCCTAAAAAGTCTAAGCTAGTTATATCCAGTAGTAAAAATGCAATCAGCGGTCGTCCGAGATCTCGCGTGTAGATATTGGAGGTTTATTATTCATGATGCCATACATAAAAACACAGACCACGAAAGGTGAACATTGCTTTCATTTATTCGAACGTACCGGCTGAATTTCTCTGAAAAAGTCACTGCTTCCGAGAAACAAGTATGTAAACTCGATAAAAGGAAATTGGTCGTGAAAATTGTTTTTTCCAGGCACCCTAGACTCCTTCGCAGTGGCGTAACTTGTCGTCTCATTTTTACTTCTCACGCCTACTGGGAAAGTATTGCACTCGCGAAGGTTTTTGAAAGTCATTGTGTTTTCTGGATGTCATGTGACATGTACAGGGTGTCCAACTAAGAATGCGAGGTACTGTATCTGGAAACCTGGAGAAAAACCTGGAATTGGCGCTAGGGGGCGTAACTGCAATCTTGAATCTGAAAAAGTGATGTTTCTGTGAATTCCGCTATATTAACGTAACAAAAAATAAACCGCATCTCGAGATCATCTTGTACCTAACCTAAAATTTAGACTCAAGACAATTTTATACGGAAATCCCTTACATTTTTATTTGTTTAAACTAATTTTGCTGGAATTTCGTTTCATTATTAAGCTGTGGCCCTAAAAAGGACCGATTTAAATAATAAAGGTTTTTAATGTCTCCGTAAATGATCGAAATACTGACCGTGATTTGCATTCCTGAAGCATCTCATAGGTAGACAAAACTGTAGCTTCGGCTCTCGGTATGTTACGTATTGCATTACGAATGCGGTTTGACATACGAAAAAATACAAGATCCAGAGAAGTTGTATTTTTAGATGCTCAATCAAATAACAAATATTAAAGTTACAAAAAAAGCAGTGGCGTATATTTTTTTGCCAATAATATTCGCTAAGTTGCCCCCCAGGGACGCCACTAGACCTAATAATTTTTATCTATTTTGGCCTTAATTATTCCTTAAATACAACAAATAATACTCCCATATTTCAGCAGAATCGATTAATATTTATTAAGATAATAACATTTATTTTAAATTTATCACCCTGTATCTTGAAGACTCTGCATTTCCGAACTCATGTTTATAGAAACCGTTTTTGATATCTTTTTAACAAGGAATCACCCTGTAAAATAACTCTGTCTATTTTTTGAACACCCTGTATAGTAAATAGAGAAACAGCTGTGACAGATTCTCATTGATATCTTATTTTACCTCGAATAATTTTTCGGACATGGGAATTTGCATTGTGTCGACTATCTTCTAGTATAATACGTTGAAGAATGGTTAAATAAGAAGCTCGTGGCTAAAAGTGATAAGATAGCGATTTTCCTTATCGTTTCCTTGTTTGTAAAGCATGATTTTCCTCATATTTTCTCTGTTTCCAGAGGCATGTGTACGCATGGGCATTAGACCACAGGGTCCACCACAAATACAGCGAATCCGAGGCAGATCCACACAACGCGAAGCGGGGGTTCTTCTTCTCTCACGTTGGCTGGCTGATACTCACCCCCCACCCCAAAGTGGTGGAAAAGAGGAAAGTCGTCGACATGAGCGATCTCGAAGCTGATCCTATCGTTATGTGGCAAAAAAGGTAATTTCACAAACTAAACTGATGAAAGAGATACCGAATTGCGGTATTCGGGAGGTTCTTGACCAACGCCTTGAGAATACTTACATGATTCGATCGGTATACAGGGTGTCCGCAAAGTTGGGGTTTTCCTTTACACGACGTGTATATCTTGAAAACATAAGCAATTTTTCTTAGTACCATATACACCAATGTCTTACGGGAACCGAGATAAAGGGCTCTGCAACATCAAAAATATCTGAATACCGTCCTGTAGCCGCGACCCGCCGGGATATCCCCGACTGGTACAAGGTCTCAACCCGACGGCAGAACTGGGTCGGGGTCAGTGTGTCAGGGTCAGGTTAGTATGCAACCTTCAACCGACGGTTACAGTCACGCGTGTAGAGGTAAACGAACTCGTATAATCGATTGCGTTTCAAAAAACAACAAGCACTAGAGACGTGGCTAGATAAGTGCAAGTATCAAAAACTAAAGTGTGGCAAACGCTGCGTGAGTGGTTGTTGCATCAACATGACAATAATCCGGACTTTTTGAAGTGCATATTGGTGACAGACGAATCTACGTTCACGCGTAATGGGGTGAATAACTTTCGCAACACTCATTTTCAACAAACATTTTCGGTGAATGTTTGGGCTGGCATGGTGAACGGTATGCTCATTGGACCATTTATTCTCCCAAATCGATTGGACGGGATGCAATACCTAGACTCACGCAACATTTTGCCTTCCTTGTTAGAAGATGTGCCATTAAGTGTAAGACAATCAATGTGGTTTCTGCGTCTGCTCGGTAGCGCTTCAGCTGATTTCATTTTCTGTTGGAGCGGGATGATTTCGGGCAGAGACGTACTTAGCCCTTCTCGTCAACTGGAGAGTGAGTACTTTTCCTTTATTTTTTTTCTACTTGGTCGCCCTTGTTTCACTACACATTACCTTTGTTATTTCAAGGGTAGTTGTTTCTGAAAAGGAAAACCCCAACTTTGCGGACACCCTGTATTTCTATTATTTATCCACTTATACAGGGTGAGCAAAGGAAGTCAGTTTTTTTAGCAGCTTAGCTATAACATTGCATTACGTTCCATTTATCCTTAAAAAAAGGACTTTCAGTCGGTTTCTCTTGAGAATGGGTATTTTTTATCATACTGTTGCGTAAAGTGGAATTTCTTGGGCCCGAGATAAAATTGAATCACTCATTGAACGTTATTGCCTCCAGTGGCGTGCAGTAAAAGTTTGCTACTTTGACGTTATGTAATTTAAACCGAATTCATAAATCTTACCATGTAATTAAACAGCTTAACACGTTTGCTGCCAATGACCCCGATCGGAGCCAATCGGTGATCTTTGCCACGTGCCGACGGCTCCGATCGGAATCATCGTTTTCCGTGAGCAGGGATACGAATAATCCTGGTTTCAATGCCGCCCTCTCCGATAGGGGGCAATTTTTTTTCTCTACCGATATACACCTTTTTTAAGTTCGATACCAATATAAATAACTAAAATTGATTACATATACCAATATTAGTCTGATTGGTGAAAAAAGTGGCCCAAACAGTAATGCCACCTCCACCAAATCTCTGGTGGAGCTATGTTTTCTTCATCATATCGTTCCTCAGCCTGCCTCCAAATAAGGATCCTACCATCAGAGTGGTATAAGTTGAAGCGTGTTTCATCGGAAAACATGCAATTTTGTGACTGCTGGTGCCAATTTACCAGCTCCTGTGTCCGTTGGTACCTGGCGACTCTATGATTGTTCAAGAGTCGGGTACACTTGGCGTGACGCCTTGATCTGTAAGTAATCCTACTTGAAAAAAAAATACCTAGCAATTTTTTTATAACATTTACATACCTCAACAAATCAGAATCTAAAGTTCTTCAGTACGATTGGATGCTATTATTCCACTGTGCCAGTTTCCATTCAAGGTTCCAGATGGAAGGGTCCTCGTTCGCCTTACTTCTTGCAATAAATGTCTTTCTCTACTCACCTTGTATAAGTGGATGAATGAAAGAAATATACCGGTCGAGCCCTGGACGTGTTCTTAAAGAGTTGGTCAAAAACCTCCCGAATACCGCAACTCGATATCTCTTTCCATTCCGAGAATATCGGTATTCGAATTTGGTTGAAATTTTACATGTTATGCCGGGTTCACACCAAGTCAACAAAATAGAAACAAAACAGGAACTCAATGTTTTTCAACAAATCGGCAACAACTCGTCAACAATTCGTGTTTTGTTTCTGTTCCTGACAACTTTTGGCATTCCCGTCGCGAGTCGGTAAAGATCAAAAGGCTTCTGTTTTGTTAGGACATCACAAGTTTCTGGTATTATTATCGATATTGCTTGTTTTGATATTTTTGATTGATACATCAAGCTATGATAAGAGTCTCCGGTCGCCAAAAATCTTAGTGTTACGGCTAAATGTTCAACTACGTTAATGGCATTTCTGAAATTGGTATTTTTTTTTATAAATTTCAGGACCGATAATCTGTATTGATTCTTCAAGTTTTCACATTCTTAAAAAGTTCTCGAAACTAGTACGCATTTCTGTTTGCAATCCAATATCATCCTTACGCAAATCATACAATAATTTTTCAATACCACATAAGGATGGTTTCACCCAAAAGCGTTTTTATTTTCCCGGTCACAACTATGGAGAAAAACAGAACCAGCAGACATTGTGTTAAAATATTTGTATATCTGAAAATTTTTGGTATGAACTGCACGAAACAAAACAACTGAAAACTTTTTTGGTTCTTGGCAATGTCGACATAAGTTTTCATTTTGTTTTGTTTAAAAAAAGTTGCTATTTGTTGCGTTTTTGTTTTGTTCCTTGTTTTTGTTTTGTTGCTTTGATGTGGACCCGCATTACAAAGCAACTGTCCACCAGTTTATTAGGGACAGAGTATCCTCCTGGATCTGCATTCCCTGATATTCAATTATTGCTAAGTGTAAATGTAAACTAAGGCGCTGCTTATGGCACCTTTATGTATTTTATCAGGGATCGACCGATACGGATATCTACGAGGGTAGTCCCAGAAGTACCCGACCCAACGAAGAAAACACAAAAATTTTGTAAAAAAAAAATATTTTTCAACATAATCTCCTTTGAGCTCTATACACTTTTCCCAGCGGTGTTCAATGATTTCGATACCTTTTTTATAATAAGAACTGTCTTGCTCCTCAAAATAGCCATTAACTGCCGACATCACTTTTTCATCGTTGGAAAATCGTTGACCACTGGAACATTTTTTTCAAGTTTGGAAACAGAAAATAATCCCAATACGTTCGAATAATACTCGCCGTTGATAGTTTTACCTTTTTTAAGATAGTCAATGAAAATTATCCGACGCGCATCCCAATAAACCTACGCCATAACCTTGCCTGCAGATGAAACGGTCTTCGCCTCCTTTGGAGCCGGTTGTCCCTTTTGAGTCCATTGTTTTGATTGTTCTTTCGTCTCTGGTGTGAAGTGATGGACCTATGTTTCATCCATGACTATGAAACGACGCAAAAATTCTGCTTTATTGCTGTAAAACTTCGCTAAACACTCAATTGAAACATCTTCATGACACTGTTTTTGCTCGATTGTAAGCAATCGCAGCACCCATCCTGCGCACAGCTTTCTCATGTCCAAATTTTCAGTTAATATGCGATGAACCGCACTTTTTGAAATCCCTACTATGTCTGCTGGCTCACGCACATTCAGTCGACGATCATTCAGTACCGCTTTGTGAATTTTCTTCACCATTTCTGGAGTCGTCACCTTATTTGGTCGATCACTGCGATGCTCGTCTTGGCAGCTCGTACGTCCTCGTTTAAACTCTGCTACCCAATATTTTACTGTTGTAAACGAAGGAGCAGACTCACCCAGAGTAGAATAAAGTTCAGCTTTTATATTGGTTGGGTTGAGGCCTTTGAAATAAAAGTATTGTGCCACATAACAATGAGCAATTTTCTCCATTTTCACAAACTCACCGAAAACGTGCAGTATTGATGGCTGCCAAACAAATACTAAACAACGTGGCGTCTTCAAACTTGGCACATATGCTTTATAGGTTGCATACTTTCTAATACAATGATATTTTTCAAACAACTATTGCCATCTCTAGGTCAGGCCGGGTACTTCTGGGACCACCCTCGTATATCGGCAATTCTTAAACAAGTGTTGTTATTACCATGCGGTCTCAAATTTGTACAGGATATTTTCAAAATCGACTCATTTATTTTAACTGTTTGTATTAGGACTTGTCAAAAGGAGTGGATATACTAAAAGTCACCTACATATATAAAAGTTGGTGCTTCTAGTCAGGATTTCTCTTATTCCATTGGACTTAATTTTTCAATCTAATTCAACTGGTACATTGAACAACTTTATCATATTTCCAAGTGATCGTGTTTTATGTTAGATTCTCAAGGCCTACTACTTCAAAAATAAAATTTTATTAAAAGACCCACGATAATCCCCTAACACGTGCTTAAACAAATACTGATAAAGGCCGACATTAAAATAAAGCATCGCATCAAACGAACTGGAAGGTGTTTAAAATTAAAAATAGCAAGGAAAATAAATCTTCTGTATTGTGAAACCTTGAACTCTGCGAGTTAACAAGTATTTGCATAATACAGCATTAATTATGGATGTCGTTTAATTAGTGTGACATAAAAACGGTAATAGCATTTTTCTTTCTGTAAATGATTATTTTATCTCCTTTTCAAAATATGTAACGGGTGTATTATCATGTGGCTCAATTTTTATTAATGAAGATAAGTCTGCTTGTATTAACTGAAATACCGATAATTGCATGTTTTTCGCAATTTGTGATTAAGGTATCTAGGAGAAATAATCAATGAACAACTTTTACATTTACACGCTATTGTTCCACATTTCAAAATTATATCGGAAATGTCAAATGTCCTTATAGTTTTTTTATTTTATGGTTTTTCGAATCGATTCGTGTTTAGATGATGAAAGGACAAATAAATAATTTCACATCCTCAATTTTCATTTCATTCTCCTGTATTTTATTATGGATCCAAACTTTTGGCATAACTGAACAAAGTTGTGAAACACTTTCTGATTTATATTAAACAAAATTTTTGGATGTTACGAGGGTCACTTTTTAAGTATGAACCAACAATCCAAACAACCAATCGTAAAATAGGTACAAAAAAGGGTGCTACTCCATAAACTGCTGATTGGGGCCCAAAATCTGGAAACCAAACTGACATTCGATGAAACCTAAAGTTGCTGGTAGTGCTGCGAAAATGATTTTTGCCCTATCCTTTGATCAAGTTTCTAGTTATGTCTTTTCCAGGTTATACCCTCCGCTATTCGCTATCTTCAACATCATCCTCCCAGTGGGAATACCAGTCTACTATTGGAACGAGACCCTGTGGAACTCATTCTGGATAAACTTTGTCGCCAGATTTACGATAACGCTGAACATTGCGTTCTTCGTTAATAGCATCGCTCACATGTGGGGTCAGAAACCATATGACAGGTGAATAAAAAAAATCTTTTTTGACAAATATTTTATTGATCTTTTTTATGTAGCAAAAACAATGCTTCCTTTTTTAGCATAGCGCAAAAAATTAGAGAATTTGATATTGTGTTGATTGGATGTAACGATGTATTGACATGTGACGACTATAAATTGACCTCTTCTAGCTTTTCGATATGACCTTCAAAAAAAAGTGGATATAATTGTTATAGAGTCTAATAATGTTACAGCCCACTGTTAAATGCAACTGAACGTTGCTCAAGGAAGCGTTGTTTGGTTAAAATCTGAGGAGAGATCGTTCCTCACACGAGACTCAATCCTCAAGCGCCTAATCCAATCTGAATTTTCCAGAAACATCAGCCCAGTAGAAAACTTGGCCGTTTCGCTCGCTGCCTTAGGCGAGGGTTGGCACAACTACCATCACGTGTTCCCGTGGGACTACAAAACAGGGGAACTCGGCAACGCTTACAACCCTTCTACAACCTTCATAGACTTTTTCGCAAAACTAGGATGGGCGTATGACCTGAAGAGCGTTTCTAAGGGGATGATTGCCAGGAGAGCGAAAAAATGCGGCGACGGGAGCCATCCTCAGATTTGGGGATATGGTGACAGTGACATTGACAAAGAAGATAAAGAGGAACTGGAAAAGATGGCGGCCGAAGAGAAAGCAGCCATGTTTTAGATTACGACGATGAGCAGTATTAATGCGTAGATGTATATGAGTTGTTGCGATCAAGTTATGTATGTTTTCTATTGTATTGAGTAAAGAGTATCTATGTAGAATATGTGTGTCTTTTCATTGGAATTAACTCAACTATATCTTGATGTACCCCGTCAAATGACCATCCATAAAATAAATAATACAAACAATATATACCGCTAAAAATGCAGAGGTTTCAACATTAAAATGAATAAAATCGATCAAGAATGGATAAAAGTATAACATTATACATACTTGTATAATGATGTTAATGCATATATTATAAGTAGAATTGAGAGATAAATTTATGGTAATGATTGCTCGAAAATGTTTTTTTTTTAATAGGTACTATTTGAAATTGTCGAAATTTAAAGCTTTAGTATCAGTACTGCAAATGACAACAGTTTTGGCTGTTTTGCTATGGTTTGCACTTTATTATGAAATTGCCCATTTGCGTGTTTTATAAGTGCATCTCTTCCACTTTTGATATTAATATCTTTATATTATATTATATTTCGCATAATCGCGTCCTTTATTGCTTTTTTAAGCGAGCCTTGGAAATCTGGCAATTCTTCCCAGTCTTCCTTATAATGTTAGGCACACGCACGCGAAAAAAAAAATAACTGCAAGACAGGCAATACTAATACTGACCGAATTCGGAATTACTAAGTACACGAAATCATACAATACAGGCATGGATTTGTCACGAGCCGCTAGACCTAGACGATGTAGCCAACTGATCGAGTATCTTCGGTGATTCCCCAGATCCGAAGAATCCGCGTATGTGGCACCCCAATACTGTAACGAATAGTACTGTTGGCGCCATCTGTTGGGCGAGTCTCCTACTCGCCAGAGCTTCATGGCCGATCTCTGCTTGTATCAGGATCGCAAAAGTGGCGAGAGGTGTGGAAGTCGATAATTCGAATTTCCCGCCAATTTTATATCAGGAACAAAGCACTGTTTCAAATACCTCCTCGCGTTTCTGTGATCCTGGTAGCAATTTCATATCCTTTCATTTTGACGATTTGCAAGGAACGTGGCCGATAAGTGCGATGATCAGAAACTGAACATTTCGTATTAGGATCGCAGAAGTGGCGAGAGGTGTGGAGGTCGATAATTCGAAATTCCCGCCAATTTTATATCAGGAACAAAGCACTGTTTCAAATACCTCCTCGCGTTTCTGTGATCCTGGTAGCAATTTCATATCCTTTCATTTTGACAATTTGCAAGGAACGTGGCCGATAAGTGCGATGATCAGAAAAATAACATTCTGTATCAGGATCGCAGAAGTGGCGAGAGGTGTGGAGGTCGATAATTCGAATTTCCCGCCAATTTTATATCAGGAACAAAGCACTGTTTCAAATACCTCCTCGCGTTTCTGTGATCCTGGTAGCAATTTCATATCCTTTCATTTTGACGATTTGCAAGGAACGTGGCCGATAAGTGCGATGATCAGAAAAGTAACATTCTGTATCAGGATCGCAGAAGTGGCGAGAGGTGTGGAGGTCGATAATTCGAATTTCCCGCCAATTTTATATCAGGAACAAAGCACTGTTTCAAATACCTCCTCGCGTTTCTGTGATCCTGGTAGCAATTTCATATCCGTTCACTTTGACAATCTGCAAGGAACTTGTCCAGATGAGTGCGATGATCAGAAGCTGAACATTTTGTATCAGGATCGCAGAAGTGGCGAGAGGTGTGGAGGTCGATAATTCGATTTTCCCGCCAATTTCATATCAGGAACAAAGCACTGTTTCAAATACCTCCTCGCGTTTCTGTGATCCTGGTAGCAATTTCATATCCGTTCACTTTGACAATCTGCAAGGAACTTGTCCAGATGAGTGCGATGATCAGAAGCTGAACATTTTGTATCAGGATCGCAGAAGTGGCGAGAGGTGTGGAAGTCGATAATTCGAATTTCCCGCCAATTTGATATCAGGAGCAAAGCACCGTTTCATATACCTCCTCGCGTTTCTGTAATCCTGGTAGCAATTTCATTTCCTTTCATTTTGACGATTTGCAAGGAACGTGGCCGATAAGTGCGATGATCAGAAACTGAACATTTCGTATTAGGATCGCAGAAGTGGCGAGAGGTGTGGAGGTCGATAATTCGAATTTCCCACCAATTTTATATCAGGAACAAAACACTGTTTCAAATACCTCCTCGCGTTTCTGTGATCCTGGTAGCAATTTCATATCCTTTCATTTTGACGATTTGCAAGGAACGTGGCCGATAAGTGCGATGATCAGAAAATTAACATTCTGTATCAGGATCGCAGAAGTGGCGAGAGGTGTGGAGGTCGATAATTCGAATTTCCCGCCAATTTGATATCAGGAGCAAAGCACCGTTTCATATACCCCTCGCGTTTCTGTAATCCTGGTAGCAATTTCATATCCTTTCATTTTGACGATTTGCAAGGAACGTGGCCGATAAGTGCGATGATCAGAAAATTAACATTCTGTATCAGGATCGCAGAAGTGGCGAGAGGTGTGGAGGTCGATAATTCGAATTTCCCGCCAATTTGATATCAGGAGCAAAGCACCGTTTCATATACCTCCTCGCGTTTCTGTAATCCTGGTAGCAATTTCATATCCTTTCATTTTGACGATTTGCAAGGAACGTGGCCGATAAGTGCGATGATCAGAAACTGAACATTTTGTATCAGGATCGCAGAAGTGGCGAGAGGTGTGGAAGTCGATAATTCGAATTTCCCGCCAATTTGATATCAGGAGCAAAGCACCGTTTCATATACCTCCTCGCGTTTCTGTAATCCTGGTAGCAATTTCATATCCTTTCATTTTGACGATTTGCAAGGAACGTGGCCGATAAGTGCGATGATCAGAAACTGAACATTTCGTATTAGGATCGCAGAAGTGGCGAGAGGTGTGGAGGTCGATAATTCGAATTCCCGCCAATTTTATATCAGGAACAAAGCACTGTTTCAAATACCTCCTCGCGTTTCTGTGATCCTGGTAGCAATTTCATATCCTTTCATTTTGACAATTTGCAAGGAACGTGGCCGATAAGTGCGATGATCAGAAAAATAACATTCTGTATCAGGATCGCAGAAGTGGCGAGAGGTGTGGAGGTCGATAATTCGAATTTCCCGCCAATTTTATATCAGGAACAAAGCACTGTTTCAAATACCTCCTCGCGTTTCTGTGATCCTGGTAGCAATTTCATATCCTTTCATTTTGACGATTTGCAAGGAACGTGGCCGATAAGTGCGATGATCAGAAAAATAACATTCTGTATCAGGATCGCAGAAGTGGCGAGAGGTGTGGAGGTCGATAATTCGAATTTCCCGCCAATTTTATATCAGGAACAAAGCACTGTTTCAAATACCTCCTCGCGTTTCTGTGATCCTGGTAGCAATTTCATATCCTTTCATTTTGACGATTTGCAAGGAACGTGGCCGATAAGTGCGATGATCAGAAAAATAACATTCTGTATCAGGATCGCAGAAGTGGCGAGAGGTGTGGAGGTCGATAATTCGAATTTCCCGCCAATTTTATATCAGGAACAAAGCACTGTTTCAAATACCTCCTCGCGTTTCTGTGATCCTGGTAGCAATTTCATATCCTTTCACTTTGACAATCTGCAAGGAACGTGTCCAGATAAGTGCGATGATCAGAAGCTGAACATTTTGTATCAGGATCGCAGAAGTGGCGAGAGGTGTGGAGGTCGATAATTCGAATTTCCCGCCAATTTCATATCAGGAACAAAGCACTGTTTCAAATACCTCCTCGCGTTTCTGTGATCCTGGTAGCAATTTCATATCCGTTCACTTTGACAATCTGCAAGGAACTTGTCCAGATGAGTGCGATGATCAGAAGCTGAACATTTTGTATCAGGATCGCAGAAGTGGCGAGAGGTGTGGAGGTCGATAATTCGAATTTCCCGCTAATTTTATATCAGGAACAAAGCACCGTTTCATATACCTCCTCGCGTTTCTGTAATCCTGGTAGCAATTTCATTCCTTTCATTTGACGATTTGCAAGGAACGTGGCCGATAAGTGCGATGATCAGAAACTGAACATTTCGTATTAGGATCGCAGAAGTGGCGAGAGGTGTGGAGGTCGATAATTCGAATTTCCCACCAATTTTATATCAGGAACAAAGCACTGTTTCAAATACCTCCTCGCGTTTCTGTGATCCTGGTAGCAATTTCATATCCTTTCATTTTGACGATTTGCAAGGAACGTGGCCGATAAGTGCGATGATCAGAAAATTAACATTCTGTATCAGGATCGCAGAAGTGGCGAGAGGTGTGGAAGTCGATAATTCGAATTTCCCGCTAATTTGATATCAGGAGCAAAGCACTGTTTCATATACCTCCTCGC